GGCCAACATCATCCTGATACCAAATCCTGGCAGAGATACAACAAAAAAAGAGAATTTTAGACCAATATCCCTGATGAACATCAATGCAAAAATCCTCAATAAAATAATAGCAAACCGAATCCAGCAGCACATCAAAAAGCTTATCCACCATGATCAAGTGGGCTTCATCCCTGGGATGGAAGGCTGGTTCAACATATGCAAATCAATAAACGTAATCCAGCATATAAACAGAACCAAAGAAAAAAACTACATGATTATCTCAATAGATGCAGAAAAGGCCTTTGACAAAATTCAACAGCCCTTCATGCTAAAAACTCTCAATAAATTCGGTATTGATGGAACGTACCTCAAAATAATAAGAGCTATTTATGACAAACCCACAGCCAATATCATACTGAATGGGCAAAAACTGGAAGCATTCCCTTTGAAAACTGGCACAAGACAGGGATGCCCTCTCTCACCACTCCTATTCAACATAGTGTTGGAAGTTCTGGCTAGGGCAACCAGGCAAGAGAAAGAAATCAAGAGTATTCAGTTAGGAAAAGAAGAAGTCAAACTGTCCCTATTTGCAGATGACATGATTGTATATTTAGAAAACACCATCGTCTCAGCCCAAAATCTCCTTAAGCTGATAAGCAAAGTCTCAGGAGACAATATCGATGTGCAAAAATCACAAGCATTCTTATACACCAATAACAGACAAATAGAGAGCCAAATCATGAATGAACTTCCATTCACAATTGCTTCAAAGAGAACAAAATACCTAGGAATCCAACTTACAAGGGATGTAAAGGACCTCTTCAAGGAGAACTACAAACCACTGCTCAGTGAAATACAAGAGGACACAAATAAATGGAACAACATACCATGCTCATGGATAGGAAGAATCAATACCGTGAAAATGGCCATACAGCCCAAGGTAGTTTATAGATTCAATGCCACCCCCATCAAGCTACCAATGACATTCTCCACAGAATTGGAAAAAACTGCTTTAAAGTTCATATTGGACCAAAGAAATCCCTGCATTACCAAGACAATCCTAAGTCAAAAGAACAAAGCTGGAGGCATCACACTACCTGACTTCAAACTATACTACACGGCTACAGTAACCAAAACAGCATGGTACTGGTACCAAAACAGAGATATAGAACAATGGAACAGAACAGAACCCTCAGAAATAATACCACACATCTACAGCCATCTGATCTTTGGCAAACCTCAGAAAAACAAAAAATGGGGAAAGGATTCCCTATTTAATAAACGGTGCTGGGAAAATTGGCTAGCCATAAGTAGAAAACTGAAATTGGATCCTTTCCTTACTCCTTATACGAAAATTAATTCAAGATGGATTAGAGACTTAAATATTAGACCTAAAACCATAAAAACCCTAGAAGAAAACCTAGGTAATACCATTCAGGACATAGGCATGGGCAAGGACTTCATGTCTAAAACACCAAAAGCATTGGCAACAAAAGCCAAAATTGACAAATGGGATCTAATTAAACTAAAGAGCCTCTGCACAGCAAAAGAAATTAACATCAGAGTGAACAGGCAACCTACAGAATGGGAGAACATTTTTGCAATCTTCTCATCTGACAAAGGGCTCATATCCAGAACCTACAAAGAACACAAACACATTTACAAGAAAAAAACAAACAACTCCATCAAAAAGTTGGTAAAGGATATGAACAGACACGTCTCAAAAGAAGACATTCATACCGCCAACAGACACATGAGAAAATGCTCATCATCACTGGCCATCAGAGAAATGCAAATCAAAACCACAATGAGATACCATCTCACACCAGTTAGAATGGCAATCATTAAAAAATCAGGAAACAACAGGTGCTGGAGAGGATATGGAGAAATAGGAACACTTTTACACTGTTGGTGGGATTGTAAACTAGTTCAACCATTATGGAAAACAGTATGGCGATTCCTCAAGGATCTAGAACTATAAGTACCATATGACCCAGCCATCCCATTACTGGGTATATACCCAAAGGATTATAAATCATGCTGCTATAAAGACACATGCACACGTATGTTTATTGTGGCAGTATTCACAATAGCAAAGACTTGGAATCAACCCAAATGTCCATCAGTGACAGACTGGATTAAGAAAATGTGGCACATATACACCACGGAATACTATGCAGCCATAAAAAAGGATTAGTTTGATTTCTTTGTAGGGACATGGATGCAGCTGGAAACCATGATTCTCAGCAAACTATCACAAGAACAGAAAACCGAATACCGCATCATAGGTGGGAACTAAACAATGAGATCACTTGGACACAGGAAGAGGAACATCACACACCAGGGCCTATTGTGGGGAGGGAGGAGGGGAGAGAGATATACCTAATGTAAATGACGAGTTAATGGGTGCAGCACACCAACATGGCACATATATACATATGTAACAAACCTGCACGTTGTGCATATGTACCCTAGAACTTAAAGTATAATAATAATAATAGTAGTAGTAATAATAATAATAATAAAAGAAACCTGAAAATAATAGAAAACTGATACAGAACTTAAGAGGTAAATGAAGCTCTATTATCAGAACCTCTGTCTCAGGAAGCTTGTGCCAAGAGTAAAACGATTCAGTGATGTGGGTGTTATATCCCAGGAAGAACAATAAGAATATATGTAATCTTTACAGATTTTTAAAAAACAATAGTAGTAATAATATGATAAGAAGATATGTAATTCTTTTAGATTATAACCATAGTAATAGTGATAATAACAAAGAGGCGAAGGTGGGAAGAGGAAAGGGGAAAGAGATGAGGATGACAAAGAAGAAGAAGAAGAGGAAGAATTATTATTAAAGAGTAGGAGGGGAGGGGAAGGAAACCAATAAAAACAGCAACAACTGTAGTGGAGATTGTGATGTATCACCCAGATGCCCCTACTCTTCAGGATCACAGTACTCACTCCTCCAGCGCTTGAGGGTGATGACAGCTGTTGTGTTTACAGTTGAGTATCTTTCTCAGGGATTACTCTCAGCTGAAAAGAACTGACTCTCAAAAAGTCATAGCTCCTTATCAGGAGGCAGTTTGCATCCAATGACTGGTCAGTATGGTGGGATAAAACTTTGGCCTCTTTTTCCTAATTTGGGACAACTTTGCAGGACCACACCAACTCCAGAGCTCCCTGTGGAATCAGTTAATTTATTTCCTGTGACTGAATCACTGCTCTACTTCTCCCTCTACACAATTCTGCTTCTCTTGCTCCCCACAGCTTTTGAACCAAAAACAACTCCCCAATAAAATTTCTGCAAGGAAATCACTTCACAGTCCCATTCCTGGAAAAAATCAACATACAACAATGTCACTAATATATTGCTAACTACATGTCAAGTGTTCTTGTGTTTTACATGTTAACACATTTAATCCCCAACATTATGGCATAGGTGAAATTATTATGCCCATTTTACAGATGAAAAAATGGAGGCACAAAGGGGTTAAGTAACTTGCCTGAGTTCTCATCTCTAGTATTAGAGAGAGTCAGGGTTTGTACCCAGGCACTTTGACTCTAGACTACATGCTCTTACTACTATGTTCTAATGCCTTTTAACCTTGATACCATGGTGTTTGATTTCCAAGGTGTTGTTTAAAAGATAACAGGTTGACTTCAATGTATTTAAATTTGATTTTGTTCAGAAAATGGTACCTCTTTTCACAGGTACATTAAGAAGAAACTACTATGCTAAAATTAGAGTTTCTGCCCTCCCCACCCCCTTTAGTTTTTCAATACGAGAGCCAAAAGAATCCTGTTAAAACTAAGTGGTTTCCTGCAATTCCTCAGATCAAAAGCCTTAAAAAGTTTTCCATATCGCTAATAACTAAAGCCAAATTCTTATATGGTAGACTAATTTTTTAATTCAAAAATATATGTCCTTCCTCTCTACTGGGCCCGTTCCTACATGTTCTTCCCTGTAGAAAGAGTACACTTCCCATCTCACTGACATCAAACTTGCCCATGTGACTTGCTTTTGCCAATGAATTACGACTATAATATGCCATATCTGAGCATAGGCTTTGAAAACTACCACATGGTTCCACTATGGCTCTTTTACCTCTGCCACAAGAACAGGTGTCCCATATATGTTTTACTCCTTTAGCCTGGTTACCTGAATGAAGACAATATAAATAGAATCTCAGACAGCCCATGAAGGGAATGTAAAATAAGCCCAAAATTTTGTTGTTGTAAGCCTCTGAGATTTGGGTACTTTTTAAAAAACCACAGCATAACTTAGAGAAAGCTGGCTCGTGCATCTTATTGAAACCATTGATGACACAATACCTCCGGCCCTCTGGCCTTACATCTTTGACTTTTTTCCTAACAGCATACATGAAGACTGAAATCCAGCCTTGAATCAGTTTAATTCATGATTGTATTAAGGACCCCATATTGGCCGGGCACGGTGGCTCACGCCTGTAATCCCAATACTTTGGGAGGCCCACGTGGGCAGATCACAAGGTCAGGAGTTTGAGACCAGCCTGGCCAAAATAGTGAAACCTCATCTTTACTAAAAATACAAAAATTAGCTGGGTGTGATGGCACGTGGTCCCAGCTATTCTGGAGGCTGAGGCAGGAGAATTACATGAACCCAGGAGGCAGAGGTTGCAGTGAGCTGAGATCATGCCACTGCACTCTAGCCTGGGCAACAGAGCGAGACTCCATCTCAAAAACAAAAAAAAGGGACCCCATCTTGTCCCCACCCCACATACCTACCATCTTCCTTAAGGACCACCCTGAACACTCCAGGAATTGGTCAGGTGTGCCTCTTTTTAATTACCATAGCACTCTGTATTATTCTACAGTAGCACATAGTACACCATAATAAATTGGTGGTTTAAATTACCTCCCCCTGTACCCTACCCAGTCTCTGAACTCTTGGGCAGGTACTATATCTTGTAAACTTTTATACTTCTATAACTATGACCCACCACTGTGCTCATTGTATGAAAGCAGTTGAATAAGTCAGTGTATTAGCATTATGTTTCATTTATTAATCTTTTATTGTTCATTACACTTTAGTACAGCAAAGCAAATACAGGTAAACATCAGTATTCTTTATATAATAGCACACAGAAAGGGAAGCCAGCCACAATTTAGAGTGCTTTTTCAGTTGTCAATATATTTGTTTGTTTATCACTTTAAGCTAGATTATTTTACTGGCGAATTTTTTTAAGCTTTTAAGGAAAAGCCTATATCTATAGCTATATGCTATATATTCTCTTCTAGATAATGCAACAAGATGGAAAGATTTTCAAAACATTTTATAGAGCTATCAAAACTCATACCAAAATACAACAGAGACAGCAAGTGGTCAATCACATTTACCCAATCGGACAATATATTAAAACAGTTGAAACACTTCCAGACACCACACAAGAACTAAATATGAAAAGACGTAAATATAACTGGAACACAAATACCAAATACAGTATGTACCCGCCCCCATCACCCAATACATGAGACCTGAGGCTCCAAGGCCCCTTCTTGCAAGGCCCCTCTGACTGCCATGCATTCCTCTACCTGAAGTTGTGAACAAAGAATTGCCTGTGCCCAACATCAGCTCTATTGGCCTCATCTTCCATTGCCTCCCTGTACTGCTGTGGCCAGTCCTGTGGTTCCTTTCTGTGGATTCTGGCCACATATCGCAAGGCTTTCATCTTGGAGGTTTCCAGACGGGCTCTAGGACCCCATACAAACTCATATTGCACTGGATCACTGTCAGGAACCCGTAAACTGTCTATATAGCGCTGACTCAAGTATCGGCAGGTAATCACGTGCTTTCTCCCAGATTGAACCCCTAAGCCCCGCAGAAAGGCCCAGACTGCAGACTCCCTGGCATGGTTGCCCATGATAAAGATGAAGCTTAGGACCTGCATCAAAAAGTTGTTGCCAGGCCTGTTTGGACTGTCTACGATCTCCTCAGTTTCTTCCATCTCTCTTCGGTTGTACAGGGTATAGGAGTGATTCCTGGGATCAAGTACCACTAGTTCTGTCCCATAGACATGGTTCAGGGTGCGGGCAGCACGATTCAGGAGGTCAGGGAACACTTTGCTGCACTCTCGGCCAATGTAGTACAGAATTCCTTTCTTTGGTATAGGCAGCTTAGTTGAATCCATAAGCAGAAATAACTGCACCAACTTCCTTGCCTTGCTCTCCAATCTTGACTCAGGCCATGAATGTGGGGCATATTTTGAGGAATAGCTGGAAACCTCTGAATCAGGGGATGCTACCTCTGCAGCAGCTTCCTCAAAAAAGGGCCTCCTAAAGTGAGGGAGAGCCTGCCAACCCTCAGCAAAGGCTCTGGCAGCATCTTCTTCCAGAGCTTCATTGTATTGCTCTGGCCAATCCATAGGATCTTTGTTATATATTTTAGCCATGAACTTCAGAATTTTCATCTTGGTGGTTTCTAGGTGGGATCTTGGGCCCCAGAAAAACTCATACTCCACTGGTTTACAGTCAGTTACTGGTCTGTAGTCTAAGTAACGCTGCCATACAAACTCCACAGACAGAAGTCTCTTTGGGTTCCCAAAAATGGAAAGCCTCCTTTCCCGCTGCACCCCCATCCTCCAGAGCATTTCCCAAATCTCAGCCTCTTTGGCTTGGTTGCCATTCAGGAATATTTGGCCTAGAATCATCATCAGGAGGCCCATCTTTGGCCCATTTGGGCTCTCTTCTAACCCTTCAAAGGGCACAGGTCCCAGTTTGTTTAACAGAATGTAGGTATGTGCCTCAGGGTCAAGTTCTCTCAATTCAAATCGAAAAATGCACTCCAGGTGGGCTGCTGCTCGCCTGAGTATCTCAGGAAACTGGTTGCGATATTCTTTAACAATATATTCCCGCATTTCAGACTCCCGGATAGGGTACTTGCTCTGATCCTTCACCAGCAGGAACTGCAACAGCTCAGCTACATTCTGTTCCATAGGGTCCTGGGGCTTCAAGGTAATTGCAACCCGGGAAGTACTGAGGCCCATAATAGTAATGGAGTTGGGGCTCTCACAGTCTCTCAGGACCTCGAATTCTAGAGGGCCTTCTGCACCCTTAGGACCCTCAGAGTCCGAGTCCACGGAGGCCTTGGTTACCCTAGGGCTTGGCAAAACAATGGAACACTTGGAGGGGTTCCGGTCCACAGAAGCACTAGAGCTAAACAAGGTGCTCGGGCCCTCACCAGGGTTGGGCAGCACGGAGCTTCCCGGTCTGTCAGAGGCAGTGGGCTGCACTAAGGTGCTTGGGCCCTCACCAGGAGTGGGCGGCACGGAGGTGTCCGATCCATCAGAGGCAGTGGGCGGCACAGAGGTGCTCCGTCCCTCACCGGGGGTTGGCAGTACGGAAGTGCTTGGTCCCTCACCGGGAGTGGGCGGCACGGAGGTGCTCAAGCCCTCAGTGGCGGTGGGAGGCACAGAGGTGCTCAGTCCCTCGCCAGGGGTGGGCGGCACGGAGGTGCTCAGTCCCCCACAAGGGGTGGGCGGCACGGAGGTACTCGGTCCCTCACCAGCAGTGGGCTGCACGGAGGTGCTCAGGCCCTCGGTGGCGGTGGGTGGCCCGGAGGTGCTTGATCCCTTACCGGGGGTGGGCACCAAGGAGATGCTTTGTCCGTCAGAGGCGGCGGGCAGCATGGAGGTGCTCCGTCCCTCACCAGGAGTGGCCGGCATGGAGGTGCTCGGTCCCTCATCAGGGGTGGGCGGCACGGGGGTGCTCAGACCCTCAGTGGCGGTGGGCGGCACGGAGGTGCTCAGTCCCTCATCAGGAGTGTCCGGCACGGAGGTGCTCAGGCCCTCAGTGGCGGTGAGCGGCACGGAGGTGCTCGGTCCCTCACCAGCGGTGGACTGCACGGAGGTGCTCGGTCCCTCATCAGGGGTGGGCACCACGGAGGTACTTGGTCCCTCAGAGGCTGTGGGCGGCACGGAGGTGCTCGTTCCCTCACCAGGGGTGGCCGGCACGGAGGTGCTCGGTTCCTCAGAGGAAGTGGGCGGCCTGGAGGTGTTCCGGCCCTCAGAGACGGCAAGCGTCACAGAGGTGCACAGCCCCTTAGAGATGGTGGGAGGCCCGGAGGTGCTTAGGCCCTCACTGGGGGTGGCCAGCAGGGAGGTGCCAGGTCCCTCAGAGACGGTGGGCTGCCCGGAGGCGCTTGAGGCCTCAGAGATGGTGGGCGGCACAAAGGTGCTTGGGCCCTCAGCGGAGGTGGGCAGAACGGAGGTGCTTGGGTCCTCAGAGGCACAGAGGCCCTGAAGGATCTGGGAATCGCTGGGACCCCGGGGGACGTCTGAGCCTGGCATATCAGCGGGGAAACCGGGGGCATTAGGGGCCTGCATTTCGTCCCAGCTGCTGTTGTGCGCAGTGGCCTTTGCAACGCGGCGGCGGCGGCGGCGCGAATTCTGGCTTACCAGAGACATGGTCCTGCCGACCGGCGTGTAGGAGCAGACACAGACAGGCCCGCGATCTGGCACAGACGACTGGAGGTGTGTAGGTGCCTCGGCACAAAACTGCCGCTAGCGGTAATGATGTTGCTGCTGCTGCCAGAACCAAAGTTCCAAGCAACTTGCTGAAGCTGAAATCAGAGGTGGTGGAAAACGCAGGCACTGGCCAGCAGTGAATGCTAGTCTCAGTGTACTCTGCTTCTCACACCCCGCCCTCTGCCGCAGTCCGCGCAGGCGCAGACTGGCTCTGCGGCAAGGCGAAATCGCCCCGCCCCGCCCCTCCCCTGGGCCTGAGAAAGTGGATGCGGTGGTTCTGCACCAAAGGAGAGCACTAGCAGAAGGGAAATTTTGGTAGGGTGAAACAAGGAGCTTAGAGTAGATGCATAGGGAACAAAAATGGAAATAATAATAAATACTTCTCAGATTTAGGGTACGATTGGAGGGCTTCTACACAGAGTGCCAGGCACTTAATAGATTCTCAAAATTGGTAATTATCATTGAGATTTGCAGTTTTCCAGAAGCTGTTTCAAACAAAATGTGCGTTGTCTCTGGAAGGGTAGAACCCCCATCCCTGACCATGTCTTTTCTATCACTTTCTCCATTTATATGTCTAACTCCTCCCCTAATGCTGTGAGCTAGAAAGAACTCTTACCTAGAGGGTCTGAATGCCTGATATTGAGTACCCATCAGGGAGCTTCGAACAAGCTTGAAAAACCCAACATTCCCAGCCCAAACTTTCCCAGTCCCCCAGGCTTTAGTGGGAAAGCCACTAACACTCTTGAAAATTTGTTTAATTCTTTCACTCCACAATCATCTGCTCATTTAATAGAGCTTTTGTGAAAGTCAGTTGAGATACCGAGTGTTAAGGGATGTTACCTGCTCTGTTTTGCCCTATTACTCTAGCACTTTTGAGCAGATCCAACCCTGATCCCTTTTATTCATTCATTCCACAAACACTGGTCATCTATCCAGAAGTTACAGAGTTCATTTCTTTGTCATCAAGGAGCACCCAGTGTAAAAATGGGAGTCAAAGAAAAAGTGAAACCAAATTTTCTAGAAGTTTGTAAAGAATGCAGGGGAGGCAGGGTCAGTTCTACCTGTAGGTGCAGACAAGGCTTCATAAAAGAGGAGATGTTTAAAAAGATGAGTGGGTACGTATTTACCAAAAGGACAAGGATGAGAAAATCATTCCAACTGAGAGTAGCATGGCAGCAGTGAGTAAGAAAGAAAACACTGAAGAGCACAGGCAGGCTGTTTTTAGAAGCAGGGGAGAGGGAGGAAGAGAGATAGAGGGAAAACACTAACTTTCTGACACTCACGCAACCAATACAATTTAGCTTACCACTATTGATCCTCTATTGATATGATTGTATCTTGCTGCAAACATTTATTATATGTTGTCTTTCTTAATATCTCCTCAAAAATCTGGGAGTATACTTTTTTTAATACTTTAAGTTTTGGGGTACATGTGCAGAATGTGCAGATTTGTTACATAGGTATACACGTGCCATGGTTGTTTGCTGCACCCATCAACCCATCATCTCCATTAGGTATTCTCCTAATGCTCTCCCTCCCCTATCTCCCCACCCCCCGACAGGCTCTGGTGTGTGATGTTCCCCTCCCTGTGTCCATGTGTTGTAATTGTTCAATTCCCACTTATGAGTGAGAACATGTGGTGTTTGGTTTCCTGTTCTTGTGTTAGTTTGCTGAGAATGATGGTTTCCAGCTTCATCCATGTCCCTGCAAAGGACGTGAACTCATCCTTTTTTATGGTTGCATAGTATTCCATGGTGCATATGTGCCACATTTTCTTTATCCAGTCTGTCACTGATGGATATTTGGGTTGGTTCCAATACTTTTTTTTATACCTCTTTAGGAAAGGGAAAATAATGGCTACAGTCACAATGTGTCACCATCTCCATCTCCAATTGGAGAAGCAATCCCTTATATGCATAACCAGTTCTGGTTCTGTGAAGTCCAATGCAGTTATTGTGCCTGGGGCCTATTCAGAATGGGAGGCACATAAAAACCTAAGATATTTCTAAACTTCAGCAACAGATATTCCTAACCTAGGGCACAGTGATTTTTAAAGACCCTGAAGTTGTTCAAACCTATAAAATAAAAATTTTTACCTCTAGAAATATATTCTAAAGAAATACTAAGAAATATGTGCAAATATTTAGCTAAAATGACTTTTATTATATAATTTGTTCTAGTATAACAGAGCTGAAAACTAAATGAATGTTAAATAACTAAAGAGTATTTAAAGAAATTATGGTAATAAAAATGGAATACCAGTAAGTCATTATAATAATATCAAAGAATTCCATTTCTAATAATGTGTGGTTGATTGTAGCAGCCCTGTGGGAAAAAAAAAACCTAGAAATTTAGGTAAAGAAACCCTTTAATGGCAACAAAGGCTACCAATACAGCATCAGAAACCTATAAAGGCAATGAGGACTTCAAGAGTGATGATTTCAGAAAAAAGGGAAGTGCAAAGAGGTGAGTCATACATTGTATACAACTTTGTCACTTAAGGAATTTAATGATTTTCAAACTGATAATTTGGAATTCTGAACTTACTGAAATAGTACATCAAAAATGAAGGCAAAATAAATACATGTTCAGAAATCAGTGCTGAGTAAATTGATCACCAGTAAGCCCAGACTGAGGAAATACTGAAAGATTCTCATCTGAAACTGAAGAGATGCAAGAAGCAAACAGTAATAGAAATGATAAATATGTGGGTAAACAGACATATTGACAATGTGAAACAATAATAATAATATGTTTTTGTGTAATTTATATGTAGAACTAAAATATAGGAAACAAGTGAGTGCAAGAGATTTGGGGACTGATCAAGAAAAAATATATTACCACAAGTTTTCAGTAACACAAAATGAGTTTTTGTTGTTTGTCTGTTTTAGAATTTCAACTTTGATTTTAGATTCTGGGGATACATACGCACGTTTGTTACATGGGTATATTGCATGATGCTGAGGTTTGGAAAACAAATGATCTCATCACCCAGGTAGTGAGCATAATACTCAACAGTTAGTTTTTCTATTTTTTTAAATGAATAAACAGTTTATTAAGTGAAATTTAATCTCAGATTAAAAAATAAGATCCAATTCTATATAAACATGATACAGTCTCCAGGAAAGAACTCGCCCATACCAGACCTCTGACCTAAAGAACTGTAAGATAATAAATGTGGTTTTGAAACACAAAGGTTGTGGTAATTTGTTATAGCCTACAATAGAAAACCAGTAGACCAGAGGCACAAGGTGGGGCTGAAAATCTTAAAGATGCAATTATATCTACAAACACTGTTCCCCATCCTTTATGGCCAGGACACTGCCCCTTCCTGCACTGGCAAAAAGGGGGAGGTTGATTCTCTGTAGGATCTAAGCCAGAGTTGTTCTAGGACATCCGGCAAAGCTGAAGATAAGGGTAAGCTACCTTAAAATCCATAAAGTGAAAAATAAAAGTCTCCCAGCCTCTTTTTTAGCTCAACTCTCATACTGCTGGCAGCCAAACACCAATACTTCAGAGAAGAGCTTAGAGAACCCGCCCTGGGGAAATTGATGAGCCTAAGAAATTATGCACAGATACTGACATGTGTTTCTGGCAATGAAATGGTTGCATCCTCACTTAATTACCCTACAGTAAAGACCTCTGCTTGGCAGGTTGCATCCAAGCAAGAGCTTTCAATAGCATTTTATTTTTTTTTATACTTTAAGTTCTAGTGTACATGTGGATAACGTGCAGCTTTGTTACGTATGTATACTTGTGCCATGTTGGCGTGCTGCACCCATCAACTCGTCAGCACCCATCAACTCGTCTTTTACATCAGGTATAACTCCCAATGCAATCCCTCCCCCCTCCCCCCTCCCCATGATAGGCCCCGGTGTGTGATGTTCCCCTTCCCGAGTCCAAGTGATCTCATTGTTCAGTTCCCACCTATGAGTGAGAACATGCGGTGTTTGGTTTTCTGTTCTTGCGATAGTCTGCTGAGAATGATGGTTTCCAGCTGCATCCATGTCCCTACAAAGGACACAAACTCATCCTTTTTTATGGCTGCATAGTATTCCATGGTGTATATGTGCCACATTTTCTTAATCCAGTCTGTCACTGATGGACATTTGGGTTGATTCCAAGTCTTTGCTATTGTGATTAGTGCCACAATAAACATACGTGTGCATGTGTCTTTATAGCAGCATGATTTATAATCCTTTGGGTATATACCCAGTAATGGGATGGCTGGGTCATATGGTACTTCTGGTTCTAGATCCTTGAGGAATTGCCATACTGTTTTCCATAATGGTTGAACTAGTTTACAATCCCACCAACAGTGTAAAAGTGTTCCTATTTCTCCACATCCTCTCCAACACCTGTTGTTTCCTGACTTTTTAATGATTGCCATTCTAAATGGTGTGAGATGGTATCTCATTGTGGTTTTGATTTGCATTTCTCTGATGGCCAGTGACGATGAGCATTTTTTCATGTGTCTGTTGGCTGTATGAATATCTTCTTTTGAGAAATGTCTGTTCATATCATATTCCCACTTTTTGATGGGGTTATTTGTTTTTTTCTTGTAAATTTGTTTGAGTTCTTTGTCGGTTCTGGATATGAGTCCTTTGTCAGATTAGTAGATTGCAAAAATGTTCTCCCATTCTGTAGGTTGCCTGTTCACTCTGATGGTAGTTTCTTTTGCTGTGCAGAAGTTCTTTAGTTTAATTAGATCCCATTTGTCAATTTTGGCTTTTGTTGCCATTGCTTTTGGTGTTTTAGACGTGAAGTCCTTGCCCATGCCTATGTCCTGAATGGTATTACCTAGGTTTTCTTCTAGGGTTTTTATGGTATTAGGTCTAACATTTAAGTCTCTAATCCATCTTGAATTAATTTTCGTATAAGGAGTAAGGAAAGGATCCAGTTTCAGCTTTCTACTTATGGCTAGCCAATTTTCCCAGCACCATTTATTAAATAGGGAATCCTTTCCCCATTTCTTGTTTTTGTCAGGTTTGTCAAAGATCAGATGGCTGTAGATGTGTGGTATTATTTCTGAGGATTCTATCCTGTTCCATTGGTCTATATTTCTCTTTTGGTACCAGTACCATGCTGTTTTGGTTACTGTAGCCTTGTGGTATAGTTTGAAGTCAAGTAGTGTGATGACTCCAGCTTTGTTCTTTTGACTTAGGATTGTCTTGGCAATGTGGGCTCTTTTTCGGTTCCATATGAAC